TATAGCTCCATTGGTTCTGCTGGCTGGACTAGGAGGCTTGGCGACTCGTGTCAACACGGCCAGGACTGGACTCTGACCACCTACCCAGATGCCCCACCCTCCCAGCTTGGCCCTTAGGAGAGGAGGTACTGTTGAACCCTCAGCCCAGTACCTAGCCCACCTCAGCCCCCTCTAGGACATGTGAGAGACCGGATGGGTGGGGAATTCCACCAGCACTGGACTCACCTTCGCCAGCCGGACTCTGGGGGAGGAGATAAGTAGGCAGGGCTATAGGGAGAACTGTCAATGTAAATAGCTGTGGTTAAGGAAAACAGCAGAGAGAGAAGAGATAAAAGAATAAGGGAGGCAGCAGACAGTTCCACAAGTAAGCCAGGCAGTGGTGGCTCGTGCCTGTAATCCCAATAGTTGGGAGGCTGAAGAAAGGAAGCTCTAGGCCAGTCAGAGATACATAGTAAGATGCTGTCTAAAACACACACACACACACCATGCACATACAAGGAAGAGCAGAAGAGAACCCCAGGGGCTGTATCTCAATGAAGAAAGCCACCTAACTTTTTAGGCCCTAGCACACAAAACAAGCAAACAAAATGGAACAAAAACAGGCATGGTGGTCTACAGCTGTAACCCAGTACTTAGGAGGCAGTACAAGCAGATCTCCAAAAGTTTGAACCCTATCTGATTTACCTATCAAGTTCCAGGAAAGCCCAGACTACAGAATGAAACCACCCTCACCCCCAAAAAAGCAGGACTGGCACCGGCTCTGGCCTCTAATCTCAGCACTCAGGAAGCAGAGTCAGGCAGATGGCCATCTGGTCTATTCGGTCAGCCTGGTCTACATAGCAAACAGGACAACCAGGACTACACAGAGACCTCCCAGAAAGCAAAAACAAAAACAAAAAACCGTAAGGCCAAGTTTAGCAGAGCTGGAACAATCTAAGCAAATGACTAGAAGGGTTAGGAGGCAAACATGGTAGCTAGCAGTCTCTAAGAATGAAGTTCACAACAGAATGGGAGAAGGGACCAAATTTCCTTCCCAGGTAACGCAGGGAGCGCTGCTTTACAACACAGTGAGCAGAAGTAAGGCCAGCCAGGACCAGCACTAAAGGGCACAGTCACAGAACACCAACTGCCTGTCACAAGAGCTTGTTGACACACAGGTTGTGGTCATTTTTCAAGAAGACTGGGTAGAAGAACCGGACAAAGATGAAACCAAGCATATAAAGTCAAAAGCTCCTTCCCACCATGAGTCTCTAGAGAGCCCCTTCCTACCATTCCTTTGCCCTTAAATCATTTGTGAAGGATATGTGGCGGGGGTATCGGCGAAGCGGGGACACCATTCTGCGGGGATCTCGTTGTACCCGTTCCACCAACCCATGGTGCCTAGTGCTCCGAGATGAATCCAAAGGTGAATGGAGGGGGCTCTGCCAAAAAGGACAGGTGAATCAGCAGGGGAAGTAGCTTGAGAGCCTACACTCCTCTTGGCTGGTGTCCACTCACCTGGAACTCAGCCAGGCCACAGCCAATCTGGTTAACATTGGGCAGAGAACCACCATAATGGGAGCTCCTCGTATAAGCCAGTCGAAGTTTTTGGGCCTGTAACTGAGATAAAAGAGACAAATGGGTATGTCAGGGAAGGTCCTGAGCACTGTTCCTTTTGGCCATCTTTGTCATTTCTTTCACCAGAATATACTGGCCATCTGCCAGTCTAAAGACAGTGATGAGGAAACATCAGCAAGACCTGGTACAGACGACCCTCCCCTTCTGCAGCTTTCTAATCAATGAGCTCCCTACTGCCTGGCAGAACCCTGCTAGGCGGGGCCTGACACTGCATGGCCTGTCTCTGTCTGTTGGTATTGCCACTGAGGCAAGTCACAAGATGATGGCCTATTAGGCACCTCTGCTTTCATTTCCAGATGTCTCCAAGACTAAGCAGAAAACGACGGGAAGACCAGAAGTCGATGCCAAAGATCCATTATTGACAGTTTCTTTCCTTCACACTCTGAGGAGCATAAGCTTCTGGGATCTGCTGCTTTTCCAGCTTTAGAACAAGGCTGTAGAGTCTGCACATCCCAAACTATACAACCTGAAAGTGATGATTCTTCTGCCAAAAGAGAGATGCCTAAACCAAGTATTCTACTGAACGCTAAGATGCCTGAATTGGCAGGGTAGGGAGGGGGCACAGTAGCCTAGTCCAACTTGGGGAGAGCCATCTCCTCGAGTTTGTGGAGATGTCTGCTAAGGAAGTGAGACAAAATAACCCTCAGTTGGCCATAGTTTTAGTCCCTCTCTATCTCATGTGCCTCTGTGTGAGAGATAAGTAGCTACTTCCAAGGCTCAGACGCTGCCCGCAGCCAAATAAATAGGGCTGGGAGAAGGGCATGGAAACGAGGAGAGCAACCAAGGAAGGGAGATTCTGAGAGCTCAGAGAGCCACATTGTAGCACAGAACTAACCAGAACTGGCTTTCTGTTCCAGATCAGCTCAGGGCTTCCAGTGGGTGATGCTGATCTCTGGGAATGGATGGGACCTCTAAGTCCTCTGGTGGTCTATGCCGGAGGGCTGTATCTGCCTCCGGCATGCCCTCCCAGTTACCCAGGTAACAAACTAAGCATTGCACTCCAAGTTCAAGATGCTTGGCTCTCCAGGCTTTGGCTACGTATGCTCACTATATTTTACTGTGTATCAGAGAAGTTAATCAGCAAAAGCAAAGTAGGTAGAAAGGCCTTTTGATAATCAGAGCATCACAAAGACAGAAGCCCCAGCTTTTCATTCCTCAACAGCTTTTGCTTGCACACACAAGCTTTGATAGAAACATGGTCCAGAGGACAAAGCCTCAAGCTCTCCACTGGAAATAAGCCTCACTCCCATCTTCTTGTCTCTGACCTCCACTATGATCAAAAGCTCTTAAAGGGAGCAGTCAAAGGCTCATAATCCTCATGGTGGTTAAGAGCAGGTTATACAAGTGTGTGCACGCACACACACATATGCATCAAATCTGCCTCCCCACTTATCTTTCTTGAACTCCCACAAACTAGAGCACGTGGTCCCTAGAAAATCAGAGGAAACACTGACAGACAGACAGACACACACACACACACACACACACACACACACACACACACACACGACTCAGAGTCAAGGGAGATATACACAAAAATACAATCGGTCACAGTCATACATAGAACCAAAGGGCCTTGTAATGGTACTTATGTTCCACCATCTCCCCTTCCAGCTCTTCACCATGAGAGATCACTTAACTGCGTCCCTAAATTAGGGCTGTTTACCTGCAAACTCCTGCCAGCCCACCCCACCCCTCTCACATCCAGCCCCTGGGAAGCAAGAAATCAAGGTGGGGGGGGTGGGGGGTGCGGGAAGAGGTTCCAAAGCAACTTGGCAGAGGCCTGAACATTCGTTGTGGAACTTCTACCTAGGAATGAATATTTCCCACACATAGAGGACTCTAGAAAGCACCCCAGAAACTGACTCACAGATAGTGCCATCTCCCTAGAAAGTCCAGCACATCACGGGTGAAAGGATAGATGATCCTTTACCCAATTTGGCAATTCAAAGCTCTACCTTTCCTCCCAGACGGCCAGGGCCAAACACTAAGAACCATTCTGTGAGCAATGGTCCTCACCTTGACTCAAGTCAGGAAACCACACGAAATATTTGAAAAAGGAAGCAAAGGGACGGGACACAGGAGGGGACTTCCTGTCCCAATATACCCAGCACAGCTAGATCAAACCACTCAAGGGGCCCTTTCCCCTAGGAACCTAGACGCCGTTGAGTGTCCCAACAGAGCACACACAGGCACTAGTTTGGGACCACAAGTTCAGAAAGGGCCAGATTAGGGACAAGCAGACTATGCTCCCAACCCATAATCCATAATTGAGGATGCTTCAGTGGAGTCTGTGAAAGGACTCGGTCAGAGATGCAGAAGAACTGTTCCACGGGCGCTGGACTTGGGCAGTCCATCTTCCCTCTTCCGCCAGTCCTGCCTCACACGTAAATAACTCGAATCCAGTCTTTCCTACTTCCCCCATCTCTCCGGTGTTCCTGTCTTCCCGGCAAAATTCGTTTAGCTGACCCTCGGCCCTCACCCCGCGCCACCCAGACGGCGGTGCCCGCTGCCCTAGCCGCGTTCCGCCTCCTGCCCAGCCGCTCCCGCCCCCGCCCCGCCTATCCGCTTGGCGACAGCTCCTCTGTGCTCGGGCTCCCCGGCACGGCCCCTTACCCGTGTGGAGCCGATGTCCATCATCACCTCCTCGAAGGCCGCCGTCTCCTCGGCCTGACGCTGCTTCTGCAGCGCGATCTTCTCACTAAACTTGCGCGGATTGGACGCTGAGGCTGTGGCGGAGCCCGGCCCGTTCGCCCCCGACGTCGCCATCTTACCCCCGCGTCCCTCCCCGCCACCTTCCCAGTTCCAGCCACGGCCTCCGCCGCGGGCCCGGCCCGGCTCCTCCAGCCGTAGCAGCCGCCGCCGCCGCCGCCTCCGCGAGCCCAGCGGCTCTGCCCCAGCCTAGTCCTGACCCGCGATGCACTGCCTGCCGGGACTTGTAGTTTGTTTACGGGCCTCCTCCACGCCCGCAGCCACACAGCGAGGGGAGGAAGCGGACTCCATTTCCCAGCAGTCCTTCCGACCCCGGGAGGCCGGCACGCGCACCACCCCTCACCTACTCCCGGCAGCGCCGCAAGCAAGCCGGGAAAGGTAGTTCTACCACAGTCCTGAGACTACGAACGGGAAGGGGCGAGGGATTCGTAAAGGAAGACGGAGAAAACGGAGAGGAAGGGAAGGGGTGGAGACAGAAAGGGAAGAAGGAAGAGAGAAAAGAAAAAGTTGGTCATCCTCAGGAAAGGCGACAAGTGGGGCGAGTGAAAACAAGGATTTTTAAATCAAGTGTATGAGCATCTGGGATTCAGGTTCTCTCAGGCTGGCCACAACACACACACCCCCACCCCACCCCACCCCACCCCCTAAATTAATCAAATACAGTACAGGGGTATAGAAACATCTTTTATTTGGGTAACATGTCCCAAAACAAGTCAGTTAGTAAAATAGATTCTACAGAGTACAATCTATGCACAGCCCTCCCTCCCCAAAAAATAATCCTGGAGGGGGGTGTCTGCCCCGTCCCCCCAACTCCTCAGATATAAAAAGTTTTGGCAGGTCATTGTTTATTATCTAGGTATGGGGCACCATGTCCACCTTCTGTAGTGGTTGGTGTCAAAAGTAGTACCTACTTTCCCTTCACTCCACACCAGTTCAGCAAACATTTCCGCCCCACCCAAATTGTGGGGCCCAAATTTAGAGCAAGTAGGTCTCTCCACTGAGGTGCTGGGCAGAGCCCAGTGCCAGACCACTGTGCTTTCAGAAAGGGAGCAGGTGAGCCATGCATGGTGGCACACACCTTTAATCCCAGTGCTCAGGAGGCAGAGGCAGGTGGATCTCTGTGAGTTCCAGGCCTGCCTGGTCTGCAGAGCTAGGTCCAGGACAACCAGGGCTACACAGAGAAACCCTGTCTTGAAAAAACTCAAAAAGGAGGGGGCAGGTGGGTGTTTGGCACTTTAAAAATAGAGGTGTGAGCTGGGTATGGTGGCACAGCACCCCTTTAATCCCAGCACTCAGGAAGCAGAGCCAGGCAAATTTCTGAGTTCGAGGCCAGCCTGGTCTACAGAGCAAGTGCCAGAACAGCCAGGGTTACACAGAGAAGCCATGTCTCCAAAAAAGAGTGAGCAGGACACTCGAGGCCAGATAAATTATGAAAACTGGCAAAGAGACCATTTGGCACTAGTCCCTTGGTAGAAAAGAGAGATATAGAAAAGTAGGAGGCAAGAAAGTAGGAGGAACCACTTCAACTGGCAGTGCTGAAATGGGCTAGAACCAACAGGATACAGACCGACTTATACCCTCTCTGCATCTTTATCCCAAAGCCGCTGGATGCCTATCTCCAGTTCTTCTGTCAGCTTGTCTCAAGATGTCGTGCCTGACCTCTGATTGTAGCAGTCTGCCTCATTCTTAATGTCGCCTGATCATATCTCTAGTAGCTTGGCTATTTCTTGTTCTTTGGGCCTGCGGCTAGCCTCTTACCTGCCCTCATCCCTCTCATTCTTCATAGTCCAAATGTTCCATCCCTACCTCTCAGAGAACTCCGGTCCTCACTACTTCTGCTCTCCATTCCTTTCTACTTCCCACCGACTGGGAAGGACAGGGAGGACAGGGGCACCTGACAGTCAACTCCCCCTGCCCTCTCTCTTTCAGCACCTTAGATTTGGATAAAGAGCAGGCCAGTGAGCAGGGCAAAGCCTGCTAGGAGCAGAATGACCTTGAGGATCCTCTGCTCAGAAGTGGCCAGCTCCTGGGGTAGGATTTCCAGGAAGGTGATATAGAGGAAGGTACCAGCTGCCATACCCTCCAGCACAGACTGGGCCAGCTGGTGAAGAGGCCCAGCTGACTCTGACAGCGCTGCACCCAACCCGATGCCCAGAGGTGTCATACATGAGAAGAGGATCCCACAGCCAGCCACCACCTGCACCCGTAGGTGGCTCTGTAGCAGCCTCAGGGACAGGCTGACTGCCAGGATACCCTTGTGGAGCAGCAAAGCTAGGCACAGCTCCATTGCCCGAGCCCTGTCTCTCTGCAACCCCACAGCCAGGCCCTCAAACACCGAGTGCAAGGCTAGGGAGAAGACCAGCACACAGGCACGCAGGGCTGAGGGAGCTGCTGGAGTTCCGCTGGCCTGGGGGAGCCCTGGTCCATCATGCCAATGTTGAGGCCCACCATTCACTGTTCCCAGCAGAGCCCTCGTCTCCTCCGGATGTGGTGGACTGGACTGCTCCTTGTAAGCCAGTGTGATCTGCTCCATCACCAAGACCAGGAAGAAACCCATGGCCAGGATGAACTCTTGCAAAGGGAATTGAAGCTGTGGACAGAGGTGGCAACAGGAGTTCAGGAAACAGGACAAGAATGGGAAGGAGTCAGATGCATAGCCTGGTGAGGCCCAGTTATACACAGACCCAGAGTCCCTATTAGTCACACAGTGATGAAGTTGTTTGGTGCCACGGACACAGAACAACACATAATAGAACAGATGTGGTATCGCACCATGTTAAATGCAGACCATTTATGCAAAGGGTCTCAACGTTGGCACTAATAACATTATGGGATAAATAATTCTTTTTTTTTTTTTTCTTCTGGAGCTGAGGACCGAACCCAGGGCCTTGCGCTTGCTAGGCAAGCACTCTACCACTGAGCTAAATCCCCAACCCAGGGATAAATAATTCTGTCATCACTATCATACACACCAAGTAAGCAGCTCCTCTGACTTCTGCCCACCAGATGTCAATAGCAAGCACAATATCACCGCCACCACTAAGCTGTGACAACCAAGACTGTCTCCACACATTACCTAGTCAGTGTTTCCTAAGGGGCAAAAACTTCCCCTGGTTGAGGGTTACGGATGCAGATGCACACAGTGTTACATGTAGGCATACAAACAAAGGATCACCTCTGGTTCCATCTTCCCAAATGTTCACATACAAAGCTATATGTCACAGGGACATTCACAGTCATATGGAGACAGGTCATTCAGTCACAGATACATAGAGGTAGCAGCCACTACTACTTCCTCAGTCACAGGGAAAAAAGAGAAGAACTTGAGATAATTCCCTGAACCCAACTGTCTCAGGTTTTCCTATAATGTTTTTTTGGGGGGGATGTTTTTGTTTTGGAGGCAGGTAGGGGGTTGAGACAGGCCTCACTGAGAAGCCCAGACAGGCCTGAAAAATACTATATAGTCCAAGCTGGACTCAAAATCTTCATGATCATCCTGCCTCAGCCTTGCATGTGCTGGAACTACACGACTTCCAACTTTATAATAAGTTTTTCTATGCCTTGGACCCAATCACTCCCTACTTCCCTGAGAACACCAGGTCCCTGGAAATTGCTTCCCTAGCCTCCCAGAACACCAGGTCCCTGGAAATTGCTTCCCTAGCCTCCCAGATCTGCAGTGATCTGTCTCCAGCCCTTCAAGTGACAATAAACCAGCTACGCTGGTGCACACCTGTATCCATGAAATTGAGACAGGAAAACTCAAAGCTTGAACAGTTAGGACTACACAGCTAGACCCCATCAAAAGAAAGAAAAGGGCCCTCACTCATGTTCATGTAAGCAACCCTAATTAAACTCATGGGGTCAAAGTCACACACTCAGACACACACACACACACACACACACACACACACACACACACACACACACACACAGGAAAACAGAGGAGGGGGCTAGTTGATAGTTGAGAAGAGGAAGATGATCAGTGGTCAGGGGACAAGAATGGGAATGAAGAGCCAGGTGGTGGCGGCGGCGGCGGCGGCAGCGCACGACTTTAATCCCAGCCCTCGGGAGGCGGAGGCAGGGGGGATCAGGTGGCTCTCTGTGAGTTCCAGGCCAGCCTGGTCTACAGAGTGAGTCTCGGGACAGTCAAGGCCACACAGAGAAACCCTGTCTCAAAAAAAAAAAAACAAAAAGAAAGAATGGGAATGAATATAGTCAAGATCCTTCATATATGTATGAAAATGTAATAATAAAACCCATTACTATGCATAATATATGCAAATAAGAATAAAATATAAGCCGGGCGGTGGTGGCACATGCCTTTAATCCCAGCACTCGGGAGGCAGAGCCAGGCGGATCTCTGTGAGTTCCAGGAGAGGCGCAAAGCTACACAGAGAAACCCTGTCTCGAAAAACCAAAAAAAAAAAAAAAAAAAAAAAGAATAAAATATAGCCAGGAGGTGGTGACACACACCTTTAACCCCAGCACTTGGGAGGCAGAGGCAGGCAGAACTCTGAGTTCAAGGCCAGCCTCGTCTACAAAGTGAGTTCCAGGACAGCCAGGGATACATAACAAGAGAGATCTGTCCTGAAAAATAAATAAAAGTGAAATATGATATAAATGGAAGACCGAGACTTCTGAGTGAGGTGGCACAAACCTGTAACTCAGCAGCCAGGAGGCAGAGAGAGGCAAGTCTACATAACAAGTACCAGGCCTGCCAGGGCGGCAGTGAGAACCTGTCTCAAAAAAGAAAGACAGGGGAAAAGGAGAAGGGAGGGAGGAAGAGAAGGAGGGAGGGACAAAGGGGTAACGGATGAAATACAACTCTTAGAACATTGTTAACTTCCTGGTAACTGCAAACCAGAGAAGTCCACACACCTGATGAGGTTCCTCACATTACCTCAGGGAGTACAGCGGGGTCACACCATGCCCAGTATCCAGGAAAGAACGCACAGAAAATGATGCCTCCTTGCTGAAATCCATACCTTACATACTAAGGTCTTCCGTAGCCATGGAGTGACCCCTGAAGGTATCTATATAACCATCTTTCCTATTAGCTATTTCAACACTCCACGCTGGGTCACATGTTGAGGTCAGTGCTCACCGTCACATGCAGGGCCGCCAACGCCTCATCTATGGCAGCCAGGTAGTCGGGGAGCAAGTCCAGAAGACAAGTAGCCAAAAAGACGCCTCCTGCGAAGCAGCTTACGAGGCTTAGGGCTTTCTGGCCCGAGGCTGAGTAAGAGTGAAGTACAAAAGGGGTTATAACCAAATAAAACCCCTGCCAAGTCCCACTGCTCCTACAGAAGCAGTGGCCACTCCCCTCCTTAGTGATCCCTCCCAGCTCCAGAGCGGCAGAGACTCACCCGAGGCTTCATGGCCAGCGCCTGACCTCCGAAGCACACAGACAGGCACCAGGCTGCAGAGGAGTGTCAGCAGCAGCAGCAGAACCAGGGCCCCCAGCTTCACCTCCAGGCCCACTGGTACCGAGGGCTCTGAAGCTATTGCTTCTGGGCGCCACACCAGGAGCTCTGGCTCCCCCCAGGGCCCCATGGTGGTTGTGGTATCAGTGACTCTCAGACCTGTCAAGAAAAGACTAGCATGGGTGAGAACGGTCACACAGGAAAGAAGGGGTCAAGGCAAAGGGAAGGCTGGTCAGCAGAATGTACTTCCCTCAGCCCAGCCACTTTCTGGCCTTTCCCAGCTGGGGTGACTCATCCACTCCAACACCAGGAACATTGCATTTCCTCCTTCGAATCTATCCCTCCCAGTTCAGCGAGCCATCAGGGAGGAAACTGAGGCACGAGAAGGCCAATATAGATCATCATTACCCTTTCCGTTGGAGCCCGCAGAAAACTAGGGACATGCTCTAGGTTAGACCTGGAGCTGGAGCTGGGGTCCCCTGAGGAAGGTAGAGACCACTCTCACACACATACTCCATCCACTCAGTGCATGTAGCCAAGAGAGGTCGGAGCTGTGGACAGAAGTCCGGGGAGGCTTCGTGGACGATCCGAAACGGGGCGGACTTGGGTGCTGGATGACTCACTGCCCACTCCCCACAAAAATAACAGGTAGTCAGGGCAGATAGCCAAAGGAGAGGGGCTTGGGACGGCTAAGACCGCACCGAGGGCGGCGTCTGGAAGTCTCGGAGGCGAGGTCAGAGGTCGCCAGCGTCGCAGGAAGATGAAAAACGTGAAAACGGGGAGCCCAGCGCCTAGCCTGGGAGGCCTTAGAAGCTGCCTGAGACCGGGCGCCCAACGAGGCCGCACTCACCTCCCGAGGGTCTCACTCCATTGCAGACGCTGGGTTCCGGCCTCGCGTCGGGAATTCCCGCCCCCTCCCCACCCCTCTCTCCCCTCCCCACCCCACCCCGCCGCCTCCGCGCACCCGCACCGGGCTGCCAATGACTGCACTCGGTGGGAGGAGTTTAGCCTTGAGTGACGTGCGTTAAGAGCAATTAGAATCTGGGAGCAGGAGAAGGTTGGGCAGGCGGCGAGCTGAGACCCAGCCAAAGCCGGGAGGGGACTAGCGGGAAGGTCCGAGGGCGTTGGGTCTGGCGCACATCTACGGAGGAGCTGGCCGCTGGAGCCGGCCAGTCACAAAGACTCTTGATAAAAGTGAGAGCTAGGAACTCTGCGAGCAAGGCCTGTTCCCTATCCTTCCTCTCAAGTATTTCGACCCCAATTCTCTTAGGCTATCTGTCTGGCCTTGGCCCCAGAGTCTTAGATCTCAGGCTGCATTAGTGCGTAACTGGGCCAGAGGGGAATCATTACCTTTTTGGGACAAATTTCTTAGCCTGGTTTGCCTAGCCAGCCCCCCCCACACACACACACACACAAAAGATGAAGCAAAATTGGGAAAGAATAAAGGTATGATTTAAAAGCGATCCTTTCTAAAAATTAATTAATTAAAATAAATAAATAAAACGAAGCCCCCTGACTTCTCAGAGTAGATAGAGAAATAAATGGTAGGATACAGTTGAGTTGCTGAAACCCCACGAAGTAGCATGCAATTTCCTTGTTGATCATGCCTTTGGGCATCGTGGCAAGATTGTCTCCAACTTCTTGCGATCTCCAGCCCCCCACCCCCGACCCCAAGACCTATAGGTCCGTTTTCTGTTCCTTGCATGTATAGTGTTTTCTTTGTTTCTATTTATTTATTTATTGTCTTAGATCTCACACTTGAAAGTTCACACGGGCCTGCAGATCATCATGTAGCCAAACTGTTCTCCAACTCAGGACAATCATGCCTCAGCCTCCCAGGTGCAGAGATCACTTCAAGTGTCACCATGCCCGCTCTGCTCACCAATGTATTTTTCTCTCCATACCTTCACTGTTTGCTCAGCCTGGATTCTCCTGATGCCACAACCCAATGTTCTATGAATCCCCTTCTAGGCCAATGAAGAGATGCTTCAGCTGTTAAAAGGGGCTTGCCATCAAGCCTGAGTTTTTTAATTGAATTTCCCCCACTCCCAACCAAGATGGTGTAGGAGAGGTCCAGCTCCCACAGGTTATCCTCTGACTTCCACATATTTGTCCAGTGGCACCACACACACACACACACACACACACACACACACACACACACACACTAAAAAAAAATGAAAATTTGCTGAATGATCTTTATGAGTTCAAGGCCCGCTTCGGCTCAATAGTTAAGAACATGTAGTTCTCTTTTCAGTGCTTTGCCCAGCACCAGCACACATGTCATGCAGATCACAACTGCTTGTACCTTTGGCTCTATGGGGACCAAAGGAATCTGGCCTCCTCCTGGCTGTGTACATACCCACACATGCATGTACACATAATTTAAAATAAAATAGATCGTTTAAAAGTTGAATAGGAGCCGGGCAGTTGTGGCGCACGCCTTTAATCCCAGCACTCGGAGGCAGAACCAGGCGGATCTCTGTGAGTTCGAGGCCAGCCTGGTCTACAGAGCGAGATCCAGTAAAGGCGCAAAGCTACACAGAGAAACCCTGTCTCGAAAAACAAACAAACAAACAAGTTGAATAGGAGACTGGAGAGATAGCAGCTCAATGTTTAATAGCATTTGCTGTCTTCCAGAGGACCCAAATTTGATTCTCAGCAACCAAATCAGTCTATAACTCCTGCTCCAGGGCATTCAACACCTCTGACCTCTGTAGCCACTTGCACTCACGTGCACATACCCCCATGCAGACAGACAGACTTATACATAACTAAAATTAATTTTTGTTTGTATATTTTATGTGTATAGGTGTTTTGCCTGCATGTATGTCTGTGCAGCATGTAAATGCAATGCCTGCAGAGTGCGGACGAAGGTATCAGATCTCCCGGGACTGGACTTATAGACAGTTGTCTGCTGCCCTGTGGGTGCTAGAAATGAAACCCGGGACCTCTGGAAGAGCAAACAGTGCTCTTAACCACTGAGCCATTTCTCCAGTCCCAAGTTTTATTTTAAAAGTTAAATGTGCCAGGCAGTGGTGGCACATGCCTTTAATCTCAGTACTGCAGAGGCAGGTGGATCTCTGTAAGTTTGATGCCACCTGGTCTACAGAGGGAATTCCAGATCAGCCAGGTCTACAGAGAGAAACCCTGTCTTGAACCCACCCCCCAAAAAAGTTAAATAAAAATTGTATTTATGGTATACAACATGATACTTTGAAATAATATGGTGTTTGTATATCTACACATTGCAAAATGGCTAGCTCAAGGGAACCAGCTTATCTATTACCTTACATATTCATTTATAATGAGAACACTTACAATGCACTTTGAGCAATTGATTTCAAGTAGATCAAACATAGATTGATTAAGGAAACGTTGGGCGGAATTCCTGAGAGTGGGAGGTACTCCAAGAGCACGCCCTCTCAGTGATTTTGAACTACAGAATGCATCCATCATTACTGACTCTGGCCACCATGTCGTACAACAGAGCTGTTGAACTTTACCTTCATCTGTCATGGGATTAAGGAAGTTATTTTTTCCTTTGCAAAACTTGACCCATCAGGGAAAAGAGGGAAGCTAATGGAGATGAGGCAGAAGTTCCTTCCAGGCCCAGCAGGGACAGCAGCTGACTCCTAATCCATCATCTCTGCGTGCAGCAGCCTGCGGGGAAAGCCACCTGAAGTGCATTTAACCACCTCTCTTGGTCTCCAAAGATGTCAACAAAAATAATTCTGCTTTCTTCTGAGCTCTGCATCAACCTAGGCAATGTGCTTTTATCAAGCTACTGCCTGAACAGGAGAGACAGACTGGGGAAATTCAAGAAAGCCCAGCAAGGCAGTTTGGTTTGTGTTTGGGGCTGGAGAGGATAAGAAGGCTTCCTGCTCTTAGAGAGGACCTAAATTCAGGTCTCACTTCCCACATGGGAGAGGGGAAGCTCACAACAACTTGAAACTCCAGCTCCAGGTGATCTGACGTCTACATACACACACAATTAAAAAACAAATCTTGGATCCGGGTATGGAGACACATGCCTTCAATCCCAGCATTCCAGACTCAGAGGCAGATGGATCTCTGTGCATTCAAGGCCACAGTCTACAAAGCAAGTGCCAGGTTAGTCAAGGCCACGTAAAGAATGCCAAGCCGGGCCTGGCAGTAGTGGCACATGCCTTTAATCTCAGCATTAGGGAGGAAGAGGCAGGCAGATTTCTGTGAGTTCAAGGCCAGCCTTAGAATTCCAGGATATCCAAGGCTATTACACAGGGAAACCCTCTCTCAAAAAGACCAAAAAAAAAAAAAAAAAAGAATGCCAATGTTGGTTCAGACTTCAATATATCCTTCCTTCGTTCTTCCTAACTTGCTTTATATCTCTCTCTCTTCCTTCCTTCCTTCCTCTCTTTCATTCATTTGCTTGAGACAATATAGGACTATATAGCCCTGGCTGTCCTGGAACTCACTCTGTAGACCAGGATAGCCTGAAACTCACAAAGATCCATCTGCCTCTGCTTTCTGAGTGCTGGGACTAAAGGCGAGCGCCACCAGGCTGGAGTACAGAGTAATCTGAAAGAAGCTAACGTGTCCTCTCTGGGTTGCTATGAGACCAGTATGAGAGACGTGAAAATGCTTCTATATAATAGTTGCTCTAGCTGTTGACGAATACTAGCTCCTTTCCAGTCAGTCTGAACCACTGGCTCAGTCCAACATTCACAAGGAAAACTAGCACACGTTTGAATTCTAGATGTACCTCCCAAAGTTTTCCGCACTGAGAGGAAGGTACACGGGATTCATACTTATGTTAGCATAGTTTCACTGTTTTACTTGAAGTGCACTCCTGGACCATCAGACACCGGACCAAGGAAAACAATCCGTGAAATTTGGAAATTACCATTTTTTTTTTTTAGCCATGAGCATCTGACCCCTTATCAGTAAAACTGGCAAAATATTATCTGCTCTGGGAGCCTGGGAGCTGTTGCACATCACATGAGAGAAAACAACTTTTTCAGACAGGTATGGTGACTCACTCTTTACATTCCAGCACTTGGGAGGCTGAAGCAGAAAAATTTCCAAAGTGAGGCTACCCTTGGTAATATAGTAAGATCTTTTTTTTTTGAGACAGGGTTTCTCTGTGTAGCTTTTGGAGCCTATCCTGGAACTTGCTCTGTAGACCAGGATGGCCCCGAACTCACAGAGATCCACCTGGCTCTGCCTCCCGAGTGCTGGGATTAAAGGTGTGCGCCACCACCGCCAGGTAAGATCTTGTCTCAAAAGAACCAAATGAGCCAGGCGGTGCCACATGCCTTTAATCCCAGCACTCGGGAGGCAGAGCCAGGTGGATCTCTGTGAGTTCGAGGCCAGCCTGGACTACCAAGTGAGTTCCAGGAAAGGTGCAAAGCTACACAGAGCAACCCTGTCTCGAGGAAAAAAAAAAAAAATTAACAAGTAGAAAAAGAGAGATACACGGCAGGATAGCTCAACGGGTAAGAACACCTAAACTGACCAGCCCCAGAAGCCACACAATCAGAAGATAGAACTGACTCTGGCTGTCCTCCCGCCTCCACAGCTGGGCAGTGGCATATGAGCCGTCTCCCCTCTAACCCTGTGATTGCCTGCCTTCACACGAAGAGAAAGAAGGAAGGAAAAGAACATTATAAATCTCTCACAACTTCAGTGAGACCCTTTCTCAAACAAACAAAATACAAACAAGATCTCACAGCTTGTCATCAGATGAACCAGGTATAACAAAGTTAACAAATTTGAGGCAAAACCTCCTTCCATCTGAAGACTGGAGGGCAGGGACACATCCAAACCTACTTTCTGTAGCAAACTGTGCACACATTGGTGGCTCCCGCTAAATAACTTAGAGGAACAAATAGTTCTAAATTAAAGCGCAAATCCTCACCTGATCAGATCCCAACTTTCCTTTTATATTGTTCCACCATCTTATAGTTCCTGTTCCTAAGAAGTCAGCTTTAAGTGTGATGTGAAGACAAATAGAATTTATTGGACATACCGCTAGATAAACTGTTCTTGCGTTTTGTTACTGTTTTTGTTTTTGAGACAGGATCTTATGTAGCCCAGGCTGGCCTCCACCTCAGGGACATTCCTGCATCAAGCCTCTGGAGCGCTGAGATTACAGGCGTGAACTCCCCCCCCCAGGCTCTGAAACAGCTTTCACGCTCCACTGATAGAGTATCAGGAGGCCACATTGAGCAATGTGACTTCCTCACTCGTATTTCAAAACGCAAATCTAAACATACAACCGGGAGTTATATGGAAATAATAAGACCGCAGACCAAAAGCAAACGTTTGGCTAGTGCGTGCCAGTTTTCCTGCCCTGCGTCCCTGCGTGGGTTAGCAGGGCCCCCCACAGAGCTGCAATGTGTGGCGTGGTTCTCGGATCCACGGAGCCGCGATTGCGCAACTGGCTGCCCGGAGGTGGAGGCCCGGTCCACAGGCTACAAGGTTATTTACTGTCTGCCTAAGTAGTAACTTGGGTCCTCGGAATCACAAGATAAACAAGCCCAAACCCAGCAGCTCCTACCCTCAGCCCGGAAGTGTTCACTCAACTTTCCTACAGTGGCTTCTCGCTGGAACCCGGAGATTCTGCCAAATGACTTCTGCGACCCCTCTCTGTGGGTCTATTGTTGCCAAGCGCGAGGGCGTGGGCGTCGAGGTAGCCCGCCATTGGCTGGAAGCCCTGCCATAAGTCTTAAACGTCCAATTAGGATTCATGGGTGGAAAAGTGCCACGCGGCTATGGGGGCGGACGAGGCGGGGGCGCCTCCAGATCTTGACTTGGTTCTCTACTCTGAGATAGTTTCCCTCTTGTAAAGATTGTGGCTTCGAAATGGAACGCTCAGGTATCCTGTGTGCTAGTCACTGCCATCTCAGCTCTTTGCTGAGGCGACATCAAGCCCTCAGCAAAATATACTAGCACTGAGGAAACTGACAGAAGGGGCGTGGGTACCTATAGTTTTATTTCAGTTTGCATATGGGCAGCGCCTTAATCCTACTTCCAGAAGCAGGCCCCGACAGTGGCTCCTGGCCAGATGCAACCCAGCCCCATCCCCCGCAAACTCCATAGATGGCATAGGCGGGGCTTGGCTGGGCAGGACCAGGATACAAGATCCTGGAGGGAAGAAAAGGTGTAGTGTTTGGGGCTTCAGCGGGCTAGGTTGCTTTGGCGGGGCGAAGCTCTCCGAACAAAAACCAGGTAATACCCAGGGGCCTTATTTGTATGAACCCAAAAGATAAGGCCTGAAGTGAACTCTCTTGCAAGGGGCTGCTGCATGTGAGCAGAGGAAATGAGTAACGGAGAATGCAGAGGAGCCAGAAACTCTGAGGATTGGGGCAGCCAGCCGCCTCCTACTTTCTGTAACTACCCACTACCTTCCTGCAGAAGCATGGAGCCCGGGTGCCCTGAGCTGCTGGAGCCCCCTGAAGATATCTTCTCAACAGGATCCTTCCTGGAGCTGGGACTCAACTGTCCTCCGTCAAAGGTTCTGATGGCTAGGCTTCAGGAACAGGGGCTGCCAGACTGGGAGATAAGTAGGGACTGTGGCTGAGTGAGCTTGTTGAATCGAAGTGGGAATGAGCTTCAGACAACTCTGACTAGAAGTCTTAAGAGACTTCAGTTCCCACAAGGAAAGAGGTCTGATAATAGCCCACAAAACAGACATGAATTGAAACTATTTCTATGTCCGAGAAGGAAAAGCACCAACATTGAAGCATAATGGATGTAAGACTAATGTCAGGTAGGACTTTCAAAATTCTCCTTCACAGACACTCATACCTTCTCCTTCTATAGGGCCTTCAGAAGAGCGAACCTGACGATTTCCTGAACCTCCTCATTGATCCCAATATGGTATACTGCTCAGAAACATCTCCTGGTAGTGACAGTTGTGTCTCTGAAGAGCCTAGCTCCCCTGTCCCACAGGCTCCTGGTTCCCCTGCCCTCTATGAGGTTGTCTATGAGGCAGGGGCCTTGCAGAGCACTCAACGGGAAGCAGGGCCAACCTTCGGACTCATCTCCATCCAGATAGGTCAGTGTACTTTTTGGAAAGAAGGCAATGGCCCTGTCAGGCCCAGCCCTGGCCATGAGGTTTAGGGGAGAAGGTTCCCAAATGATGCCACTGCCCAGTTCCTGCTGCCATCAGTCTTCAATTCCTTTGTCCCAGTCTCTCTGTTTCCTTCAGATCAGTGGAGCCCTGCATTTATGGTGCCTGATGCCTGCACAGTCAGTGGGCTGCCCTCAGATGGGCACAGACATATCCTGCCTAGAGCCAGCACCATAGCTCCATCACCTCCTGCTGCCCTGGTAAGTCTTGCGACCAGCTAGAACTGGTGTTCCCCCAGTACATGTCCTCACATAAATGGGGGTGCAGGGGGAAAGGGAGGGGAAGCTAACGAGGAACTGGTTTGCCCCACTTTTGGTGAAGGCCAGGGAGAAACAAGCAATTCTAAGAGCAGGAAAGCATGGGGGAGGACAGCTACTGGGGACCAGGGTGGCACCAGGTGGGATGAGGGACCCTGCAGTCAGAGCTCTAGAGAAACCCAGACCTAGTGTGCATTTACATTTAGTCAAAGCTACTCTCTCAGCCTTGGGTCAGGCAAGGGAATTGGGACAGGCCTCCCGGGAATGCACTTGGCTAATGAGAACAGGGCGATAGAGAAACAGTAGCAAGCGTTTGCACGAGAACAATTACCCTGTGGCCAATGCCCAGTGATGTGTAGAGTTACCCTATCATGTACCTTCCCGAGGTGGGCTAGATGCTCCTGCTGTGCAGACCAATAGAGGCCAAGCTTAGGCCGTGTTCCTCTCTCTATCCTGGGGCATACACCTTGTGTTCAAAGGCAGAAAACAGGTCCTAGCCATCCTCTAAAACTGTGCTTGAAGCTGGGACCAGAAGCCATGCTAGGGGTTTGCATATCAGCACAGGATTTGTGCTTGTTTTATTTTTAGATAAAGCCCTCTGTGCTCCATTCTCAGAGATTTTGGTTAGAGAGATTGGAAGAAATACCCCACTGAACACTTGGAGGAAAAAGACATTAGGAAAGGAAATAGGAAATGGTTTAGCCAAGAGCCAAAGGCCATCAAAAAGCAAAAGCCAGAGGCTGAGAGATGTGTCCGTGAGAAAAAGCTCTTGCTCTGGGAGCAAGAATACCTGAGCTGGGAGTTCAGATCCCCAGCACCCACATACACAGCTACATATTCCCTTACCCCCTCGCTCTGAGGGGTTGGAACAAGAGGATCACTGGGGCTTGCTGATCACCAGACTAGTTTCCAGGGTTAGTGAGAAGCTCAGTCTAAAGGGAATAAGGTAGAGTGATAGAACAGAACTCCTGTATTACCCCTTTGGCCTCCAGTCACATGCACCATACCCACACATCTGCAACTACATAGCTCTCTTACACACACACACACACACACACACACACGCGCGCAAAGTAAAAAGCCAGACTAAATTATCCTCTTAAAAGTTATTTATTATTGTGTATATACGTGAGGGAGAAGGACAGTGCATGCATGCCCTGGCTTATGTGGAGGTCTGAGGACTTGTGGCATTGGTTCTCTCCTTCTACCCTGACGTGGGGTCCACAGAGTAAACTCAGACTGTCAGTCTTGTGTGGCAAGTGCTTTATCTGCTGAGCCATCTTACCAGCTACAAACTAAGTTACTCTTACATTACAAAGTGAAGCCTACGCTGGGTGTGGTGGCACACACTTGAAATCTCTGCACATGGGAGGCAGAGGCAGGAAGAGAACACAAACTCAAGGCCAGCCTCGTCTACGTAGTGGCATCCTGTCTCAAAACTTCAACCCAGGGGCTGGAGACATGGCTCAGTGGCTAAGAGCACTAGCTGCTTTGCCAGGGGACCCAAGTTCGAGTCTGACACAAAGACACACGTACACAACAAATAAACAGAATGCCAGTGAGAAGGAAGGGTCCTTAGCAGATGGGCTCAGCTTAACCAGACAGCATCTACCCCTTCTCACACACCTCACTTGAGAAGTCAGCCTGAGTGTCCTTAGAAACTCCTTGTCTGTGAGCAGACAGCTTGACCTGACAGGTGGAGCTTAGAACCTGGGGATTATGAGACATATGTCCTGTGCTTGACAGGCAACCAAATACTTTACCAAATGCAAGTTAATGGCCAAATGTTTGCCTGACAAGGAAATTCAACAAAGCCCATCATAATGAACATACAAGTTAAGTTCCCTTCTGAGCACCCTGAGATCCAGGGAGACAGACCAGAGCAGGCCCTCTCTAACTTGGTCATAAGAAGGTTCTATGTGTAGACAAAAACTTCACTCTCCTTCCTGAGCTTCAGGAAGGCCCTTTGGCTTGCCACAGAGCCTGTCTGAAAGAACTTTCTGCCCCTGACCTCACCTCACCACTCAGTGCAAATAGGAAGCCCTGTCCTGAGAGCGTGCTGAGGGTGGAGGGGCAGCTTGGGTGCTGGAAGCAGGTGACCTTGATCCTGCTCATCTTCTGCCACTCCTCCCAGCGGTCCTGCCCACGTCTGTTCCTGACAGATGAAGAGAAGCATTTGCTGGGGCAAGAAGGGGTTTCTCTGCCCTCTCACCTGCCCCTCACTAAGGTAACAACTATCCCCAAAGGGTGTCCCATCCCAGGAGCTCCATTCAACCTCTAAAGAGCCTGGATTGCAAGGGACAGTTGGGGAGTTATGGGAGGCTAAGGGCCCAGCACTGCACACCCTGGGCCTCCAGGCAGAGGAGCGAGTACTAAAGAAGATCAGGAGGAAAATCCGCAACAAGCAGTCAGCTCAGGACAGCCGGCGGCGGAAGAAAGAGTACATAGATGGACTGGAGAGCAGGCATGTTTGGGCTCACCTTTCTGCATCCCGTGGGTGGTGTCTGGGCCCGTTCGTTCCTCACCTAGACAAGCATGTTAAGGGACCACCTGCCAAGCCTGCTCTGCTTCTCCACTCCCTAGAGTGGCAGCCTGTTCTGCACAGAATCAGGAACTACAGAGAAAAGTCCAGGAGCTGGAGAGGCAGAACACGTGAGTGGAAGCAGTGTCCGGACGGAGGAGAGGGAGGATGCAGCCACAGGCAAGCTGATCTTAGGCTAACTCTTTGTTCTTCTCCTAGCTCCTTGGTGGCGCAGGTCCACCAGTTACAGATGCTCACTGCTCAGACCTCCAGCAGAGCTGCCCAGACCAGTACCTGTGTTCTGGTACCATCAGGATGTTCTGTACTTCCCCTCTCCCCCACCTCTGCCATCCTCCGCATCCACCCAATACCCCAACTACCCAGCCCCGTTTCCCGAACCCCGGTAACCGTAACCAGCCTCTGTTGATGCTGCCTTCCTTCTCTGTTGTCCCCAAAGCCCAAATGGCCTCTTTTCCTTTCAGATTCTTCTCTTTTCGCTGGCTCTCATCATCCTGCCCAGCTTCAGCCCCTTTCAGGGTCAACCAGAAGCTAGGCCTAAGGGTTATCAGCCTCATGGAGGTAAGAGACAAGGGCACAGAAGCTCCCTGATGAGCCGGAAAACTCTATTCTCTAAAACAATCAACACTAGGGATGGTCTTGGTCATTCTCGGACCCAAGCAAATGCTGTCCCACTACACTCTCTCCTCAGTGATTTCCAGAAATATCTTGACTCACAAGGACATGACAGAAAGCCCAGAGATTCCAGTGGTAAAGGCCAAACTGGAGGAGCTACGTGAAGTCCCAACTGCAAACGGCTCAGCAAAGACGAAGTTAAAGCTGGGGATGAAGGCTAGACCCACTGGGCACATCAGGGGAATGCTGCACGCAGATGAGATGTAAGCTGAACACTTCCCAATCACACAAGAACCCACACAGGCTTCCTCACTGTTTCATCTGGAATTCCCATTTAGGTGTCCATACCCCTGGAGTTCTAACTCACTCAGGATACCCTAGGAGCTTTCTGTCCACCAAGGCCACGTTTGCTTTTATGGCAGGGCACCTCATATATTTCTGCCCTCTATTTGTGATTTTACTTCTTTGAGGATGGGGTCAAGGGGAAGCAAGTTTTGACTCAGAAATAAACTTTCTAGCTAAAATTCTACCCCAGAAAATGCTGTTGCTTCAGACAAGTTCTTACGATAGAGTCTAAGCTGGTCTGACTCCTGACTCCTCTATGAAGTGCTGGGACCTCAGGCATGTTGTACCACATTCAGCTTCGAAACTTTTATTATTATTGTATATAAGCATGATGTATGAGTGTATTATTGTGTACAATACACATGTGGAGGTCAAGGGCAACTTTTAGCTTCTTTCCTCTTAGTACTCATTCTAGGGATCAAACTCAGGTCATAAATCCTATGAAGCAAACACTTCTTAAATTTGTTATAGTTGTTTTGAGACAGGGTTTCTCTGTGCAGCTCTGACTGTCCTGGAATTCACTCTGTAGACCAGGCTGGCCTCAAACTCAAGAAATCCATCTGCCTGTCTCCTGAGTGCTGGGACTAAAGGCGTGAGCCACCACCATCCAAACGTTTATGTATGTGTCTATGAGAGTGCATACCATGTGCGTATGGGTGCCCATAAAGGGCAATGGATCCCTGGAGCTGGCAGTTGTGAGCTCTGCCAGACACAGGTCTAGAACTGAACACAAATCCTCAAAAGCAGCAAGCTCTGTGAGCCACTTTACCAGCCCGGAAATTTAAAATAAAAGACAGGGGGCTGGAGAGATGGCTCAGTGGTTAAGAACATTTGTTGCTCATGCAGAAGACCTGCGTTCAATTCGTAGTACTTGAAAGGCGACTCACAGCCATCTATAACTCCAGTTCTAGGGGATCCAACATCCTCTTCTGACCTGAGGGCAGATAAACCACTCACACATAAAATAAAAGATAAATAAATCTAAAAAAAATTAAGAGTAAAAGAAGGGAGAGAAATTATTGTCACTTGCTAAATTGTCACCCCTTCCTCTCATTGCCCCCGTGACTTCTCCCCCCATATCAATTTTTTTTTTCCTGGAGCTAAGGACCGAACCCAGGGCCTTGTGCCTTGTGCTTGCTAGGTAAGCACTCTACCACTGAGCTAAATCCCCAACCCCCCCATTTTTTTTTTTTGAAAGACTTATTCATTTTGAGGCTGAAGAAGTGTTTCAGTGGTTAAGAGCATTTGTTGGACCAGTATTCAATTCCCTGAACCATGTGGCAGCCCAGGACCTGGCACCCTCTTTTGGCTTTCAGGGGCACCAGACACGCACATGGTGCACAGACATATGTGCAGACTTACTACATACACTTAAAAGATTTATTCATTTTTCTGTACATCTGTTTATGCATGAGTTTATGTGCACCACCTGCCTGCAGGTGCCCAGAGGCCAGAGGGCTTCAGACCTCCTGATAGTAGAATTACATGTGAATGTAAACCACTTGTTGGGGTACCAAACCCAGATCCTCTAGAAGAGCAGCAAGTACCCTGAAGTACTAAGCCAACTCACCAGCCTCTTTTATTTTAATTAGTTTTTTTGAGACAGAGTCTCACTATGTATCCCTGGCCAGCTTGGAGCTCGGTATGTAGAAAAGCTGGCCTTGAACTCAGAGGTCTGCCCCTCTCTGCAGTCCACATTTGGGATTTAAGGCACGTGCCACCACACCCAGTCCTCCCCAAGCCAAATTATTACAGGGAAGGACATTGTTTGACTCCTTTATTACTTTTTTTTTTTTAAAGACAGCCTTACTCTGTAGTTTAGCCTGCCTACAGATCCTCCTGCCCCCTCTCTCAAGTGCTGGGATTACAAGTGTGTGCCACCATACCCAGCTGTTTTACTTTTTATTGTGCTCATTAATGGTCTGGAAGAGGAACTCAGGGAAAGGTGCTACTACCACAGGCGTAAGAGTGCAAATTAGCCACTGAAGCTTCTCCATCTGAGACAGAGTCTGCAAGACCGAGCATAAGACAGTGGAACTCAGCTATATGGACTCAATTTGCTTCCGGACTTTCTCAAGGGCCTTTCTATCCAGTTGTCGCTGACGAACGATGACAAGGCAAGCGAAGACTAAAGCCACACCCACCATGGTGCCTTCAAACTTCCAGAACAGGTGTTGTTCCATCAGAGCTGAACGGCAGCTGAGGGCAGAAAAGGAGAGTCATTCACGGGAGAAGTCAGTCTCTCCTAACTACTGTTCTCTATCTCAGCCTACCCAAAATAAGAGAAACTGGAGTAAGTCATGTCTTTAGTCTCCGGGGAGATAAACAGAGTAGTATTAACCAATTTGATTCCCCCCACCCCAAGTCTCAAGTAGTTTGGGTTGGCCTTGAACTCCTGACTCTCCTGACTCTCCTTCGTAAGTGCTGGGGTTACAAGTATGTACCACCATGCCTGACTTTTTTTCTTTAAAAAAAAATAAATAAAAAGCGGGGTGTGGTGGAGCACCCCTTTAATCCCAGTACTCAGGAGGCAGAGGCAGGCAAATCTCTGTGAGTTCAAGGCCAACCTGGTCTATAGAGTGACTTCCAGGACAGCCAGGGCTACACAGAGAAACCCTGTCTTGAACCCCCGACCCAAAAGCCAACACTTTTTTGTTGTATGTGTGCACACTCATGCCAAGGAACAGGTGGACCACCTCTCCCCATCCCATAAGATACACACACACACACACACACACACACACACACACACACACACAGTCCAAAGACAACTAGCTGGAATGAGTTCTGTACCTCTATCATCTGGGTTCTGGGTATCAAATTCAAGTTGTTGGGTTTTTTTGTTTTGTTTTGGTTTTGGTTTTTCCGAGACAGAGTTTCTCTGTGTAGCTTTGGAACCTGTCCTAGAACTCACTCTGTAGACCAGGCTGGCCTAACTCACAGAGATCCGCCTGGCTCTGCCTCGGAGTGCTGGGTAAGTTGTTGTTTTTAAAAGATTTATTTATTTTATATCTATGATTGTTCTCCTATATGTACATATATGTACCATATGTGTGTACCTGGTGCCCGAGGAGGCCAGAGGAGGGTGCTGGATACCCTGGAACTGGAGTTACAGAACAACTATGTGGATGCAGGGAACTGAGCCAGGGTTTTCTGCAAAAGCAGCAAGTGCTTTTAACTACTGAGCTGTCTCTACAGCCCCTCACGCTGTCAGATTTGGCAGGAAGTTCCTTTACCCACCACAACATCTAATTAGCCCCTCTTAGAGATCTGTTTGCCTCTGCCTTCTGAGTGCTGGGATCAATGGTGTGTGTCGTTACACCTGGCTTAACTATATTTATTTAACTATTACTGTGTAGCCTTGGCTGACCTGAACTCCTTATGTAGGCCAAGCTGGTCTTGAACTCACAGAGCTAAGCCTGCCTCTGCCTCTGAGATTCAAGGTTTGATATGCTCCATTTCCCAGCAACTTTATTTTCTTCCTAAGCAATGCTGGGGATTAGACTCATGGCCTCTTACATGCTAGGTGAGTACTCTACCAATGAGTTACATTCACACCCCTGACCAAATTATTTGATCAGAAAACATGGCTAATAATATAGTGCTGAAGACTAGGGTTAGGGATTAAGGGTAATTTGGCTCAAATCTCTTCCTCTTTCCAGTATGCCAAACTACACCAAGACTAGGAGATAGCTACCTCCAGAAACAGGGTCAGAGGAGGGCATTTGAAAGGAGAGAAGCAGTCCTTACCTTCTGAAGTCATTCCTTTTAGATGAGCTGCATGTGATTTTCTCCACATACCCTGTAGAACCACACTCAGGTGTGGTTTTCTACCAAAATAAAGGACCAAAAACGTATGTTAGGGGGGAGGAGAAGCAACAGAAGCCCTGCTGTTCAGAAGGGGCCGGAGCTGGTGGGCAGCAGACAACTAATGGAGAGCCCCGGTGTGGACGGCGGTGGTGTGATCAGGAAGGCTACAGTAACGGAGATAAGGAAAAATTCCACAGTCTCCTGTAGTAAAATATGAACAGGGCACGATCATCCTCTGGATACTGTCATTAATGTGGGAAGGCCATATTTTCAGAGAGAATTTAAGTTCAAATGTGAGGGCTGGCAAAATGCCTCTGTGGGGAAAGACGTTTGTAGCCAAGCTTAACACATTGCATCTATGTGGTGGAAAGAGAGAAACAATTTCCCCCAAGTTGTCCTCTGACTTCTTTGGCACATGATCCAGACAAAATAAATATTAGTGTTTAAGACCGGCCTGGTTACATGGTGAGTTCCAGGACAGACAGACAGCTACATAGTGAGACACTGTCCCCAAAACAAACAAACAAACAAAAAAAGGGGCTGGAGATATGGCTCACTGGTTACGAGCACTGGTTGCTCTTGCAGAGGACAGGGTTCCAGTCCCAGCACCCACATGGTGGCTCATATCTAGATCTGATGACCTCTTCTGGATTCTTAGGGCACTACACACACATGGTACACATACACGCAGGCAAAACACCCATATATACATAAAACAAAACAAAAGTAAAATATAATGTAATTAAGTTCAGATTTGAACTTATCCTAACACTGAGAAGAAAGAAGCAATGATATGTTTAAAAAAAAAAAAAAAGAACAAAAAAACAACCAAATACTTAGGGACTGAAGAGATGGCCCAGTGGCTAAGAGCACTGGGCGCTCTTCCAGAGGACCTGGGTTCAATTCCCAGCACCCACACAGCAGCTCACAACTGTCTGTAACTCCAGTTCCAGGAGATCCGACACCTTCACCCAGACATACATGCAGGCAAAACACCCATGCACATAAAACAGAACAAACAACAAAAACTCACAATCTGGAAGTTGGAACACGGAGTACACTCTTCGGTCACCACGAACTCTTCCACCAGCCAACATGGCGAAGTTGAGGTGCTCACTAAAAGGAGAGAGAGAGAAAAATGGCCAGCCGAAGACTATTCAAAAAACATTTCTCTCAAAGGCTCTCTACCCATCCAGCTTCCCAGCACAACGCTTGCCCTCGTTCCTTTGGGGCACCTCCTTTTTCTATCTGTGCTCTTGGTATACTAAAAAAGACAAACACAAAAACGAACTACAGAGGCACGGGGTTCCCGGGCAAGCACACACCTGACAGCTTCTCCTCGCGCACCGGAGCCTCTGCTTCGCTGCAGACAGG